GCCTGGAACTCACTATGTAGACCAAGCAGGCTGGCCTTGAAGTCACAGAGATCCCTCTGCCTCCTGAGTGCTGGGATTAAAGGTATGTGCCACCACACCCTCCCAGAAGAAAGATTTTAAAGATGCTGTTTGTTTATCTTTTTGGATGATTGTTTCTTTATGACAAGTTAATTTTTAAAATAAGATCTTTAATACCTATCTACAACCATCTTTAAGTGTGCCATTCATTTATTATTTTTTTTAATTTTTAAAATTTATTTTTTATTTTATGTGTTTGCTTATATTACCTGCATGTAGGTAAGTGCACCCGTGTCATGCAATGCCCATGGAGGTCAGAAGAGGCTGTTGGATCCCCTGGGACTGGAGTTACAGACAGTTGTTAGCTGCCATGTGGGTGCTGGGATTTGAACCCGGGTCTTCTGCAAGAACAACCAGTGTTCTTAACCGCTGAGCCATCTCTCCAGCCCCTAAGTGTGTCATTTATTAATTTTGTTTATATTTAAATATGCTATTGTTTATTTTTGAGAATGAGAATAAGCCCTTTGATAGTAGAAACTGTGTATCTAAAGTTGTAAATGATCATGAGCTTTGTAAGTTAAGACCTGAGTCCACTTCCTTAGTCTCATGATGGCTAGCTACATTCTAAAAGATTCCTAATCCTAAGGCTCAGCATTCCTTCCAGACCTCTGTTCTGTAAATTCACCTATCTCACACTTAGGATCCTTGATCTCAAATACCTCTGCTAGTATTTAGAATGCCTTTAGTTTTACTTACATATTCTGTCTCTTACTGATGTGCCTATTGATATCAATCCTCACCCTCAGTAAAGCATATGATTTTAAATGGATCTGAAAGTGCACACTGGGAGAGAGGAGAGAGGATCCATGGTTTGTTCGATGGGAGATCATGTGTGGAGATTTGTGTGGATGTCATGGATAAGAAAAATGGTTGGAAAAATGGAAGTTGGCTTGTAAAGAGACCACATATAATGCATTACTGGTGATGACTGAGGGTTGATGATCCCTCTTATATAAATATCCTGATCTAGATTATTCTGTAAATGAATAAATTACTTGGTTGGAGACCATATATGGAGACTAATAATAATTATAATGAATAGAAAATGGTTGAGGTGTTTTAATGCTGTTCTAGGTTAATCAAGAGTTAAATCTTTTTTAATATTTGAATATAGATTTGAATTTACAGCTGTTTATAAGAATTGAGTTAAAGAATATTTTTAATAAAGTATGAAAATATTTTAAAATATTAGTGCTTCTAAAACAATTTGAGGATCAAGAAAATATGTATAAGTGCTAATAAATACAAAGTTTTTATAAAAGTAAAAATGTCATAGTATTCAATAAGGTTTATTGTTTGAAATTTACAGAGTTCACTGAACTCTCACTGAAGAGTTGGAAGTTTGATTTGCCTTTCTTGTGTACTGTTACACTTCCCTGCCCTTTGTGTAGGTGGCATCGGATTCTTCTCCATAGCAAGGAATAGATGTTATTTTGTTTCTTTGAAGGAAGAAAGTGAGATTTGGAACCAAACAATACATACACAATATTGTTGGTTTTTCTTTAATCTTTTATCATGATAAATCAAAGCAGTAGGAGGGAGAATATGTAAATAAAGATGAAGGTGTTTTAAATACAGATGGAAGTAGGGGTATTTGAGATTAATGATCATAATAAGTGCCAGGGAGATGAATTTATAGAGCTAAGAGATTTGGGATAAATGCTGAGGTTTGATTAAAGAAGTTTTAAGCACATAGCTTAGGCACCCTGAGCTCAGCTCAGGATGGACACATACTAAAATAATGAATAGTTTTAAAACTAAAGATAGGGGCCAGAAGTTGTGCTGCATGCCTTTAATACCAGCACTGAGGAGGCAGAGGCAGGTGGGTCTCTGAGTTTGAGGCCAGCCTGTTCTAGTGAGTTCCAGACCAGCCAGAACTACAAAGTGAAACCCTATCTCAAAAAAATTGAAGCCAGAACAAATCAAACCTAAAGAAAAATCCAGATAGGGTGAACTTTAGGCATCCAAACAATATATTTAGAAACTTTTAAAAGAAGAAATCTTAGGATACAGGAATTATTTTGTTGATTTCCATAAAAATACTCTTTCATGAATTTTGGATTTAGATTTGTAAAATAATAAGAATTATGGATATTAGTCTCTGCCTTAGCTCCTGACAGAGAGTTTCTAAATTTTCTGAGAGCTAGGGGTGCTAGGAGAATCTTTTGCTTTCAGTTTAGTCTCTGCCCTGGTTCCTGAGATAAGAGGTCCTAATACCCTTGCTGATGGTGGCTGTAGAGTAATCTGTTGTTCTGATAGTTGATCTTTGACTCTGGTTCTTGACAAATTTCCTAAGTCCTGGGGATGTCTGATACAGCTCCTAAATCTCTCAGAGTCTCCTGGATGAGAAGAACATCTCTTTTTCTAATTGGGTGACTTTTGATAAGTTCATGTATCTCGTCAGGATGAGAGCTGGTTGCCTGGGGACCCAGCCTTTGTGATTAAAGGTTTGGAACTTTCAGCTCCAATTCCCAACCTCCTGGATTGAAGAGAGGCCAAAGATTGAGTTGAGCAATAATGGTGGTGACTTAATCAATCATGTCTACATAATGTGTCTTTTATAAAACCCGAAAGAACTGGATTTGAGAGCTTCTGGATAGCTAAATGTACTGTATGCCTAGGGAGGGCATGGAAGCTCTGTGCCCATTCCCACATGCTCATCCTATGCACGCCTCCACATACCTCTGTTTATCTGTATCTTTCTTAATATCTCTTATGAATAAATGGGTAAACATAAATTGTTCTCCTGAATTCCAAGAGCTACTCAAATCCATGGAGGGAGTTATAGGATAACACCTGATTTATAGCTAGTCAGATGTACATGTCAGCCACCTACTCTTTGGGATTGGCTTCTGATAACTTTGGAATTGAGCCTTCAACCTGTGAAATCAGGTAGATACTATCAGAATTGAATTGATCCTCCTGTCTCTGCTTCCCACTGCTGGGGTAACAGACATGTACCACCACAATTGGCCTTGGATGCTTAGGTTATTGACTTGAGAACTTTCTAGTATAAACATTTTAAGTACTTATAAAGTGAAAATGACCAACCTTTTTCTTCCTCACTTAAGGCTGAGTTTGTTTCCTCCTATTGTGGAGTCAAGCTGTTGGCTTTTTCCTCAATATCCTTTTGCAAGTGATTTCTAACACATAGGTGGAAATATAGCTTTTCTTCTTCCTTTTAAGAAACATTTTGCTAGATAGCATTTTAGTATTTATTTTATACATGATTTTTTTGTTGTTATTTAGTCCTAAGGATTGCTAGGCAAGTGCTGTACCATTGAGTTACATTTCCAGGTCTTTTATTTCTATTTGGAGACAGATTCTCGCTACATTCAGGCTGGCTTCCAACTTAGGTTCTCAGTAGCTGGAATTTCAGGTGTGTGCCATCAAGCCCGACTTCCTGCTAACAGCAGTTTTGTTTTTTTTTTTAAGATATGATCTTCCCTCCTTCCCTCCCTCCCTCCCTCCCTTCTTTCTTTCCACTCTTCCTTTCAAATATGAATATAGACTAGAGCAAGAAGCACAGGCCTTAGCAAATGCTTCAGAAAGGATGCCTTCTATGAGGAAATACAGACGTCAAAGTGATTTATTCAATAGTTTTGTGCAAAGGAAAAGGAATTATTATAGGTCTCATCATTCCAGGTCCATATTGCTCTGTACATAGAGCAGTGTCTTTGTTTCTAAAGAACTATATGTTAAAAACATCATCCTAATTTTAACTAGCTATAGAGTCTCTTACTTTGTAATAAACTCAATGAAATGTAATAGTTAAAAAATCGAACTATAACAAAAAATGTTATTTCTGGCAATGTTTTCACAAGAATCTTATGGCTTATTGACTATTTTCCTTTTTTCAAATGTGATCTTTTTATATATAAGAAAGGTTTTTGGAGAATGGGAAATACCGTGTTTTGTTTTACTTTGTTTTCCCAGCACTGGGGATTGAATCCAGGGCCTCATGCATTCTAAGGATTTGTTCTACACTGAGCTATATCCCTAGCCTGGGAAACATTCTTGTTGGGACCTGTGAATATGATGGGACAGAACAAACATGTAGCTCCCTTTATTCCAAAGGTATTTTGCTCTAAGTTACTGTGAAACTTTATGAGCACAGACTTTATAAAATCAGCATGAAGACTCACTGTTAATTTATGCATGCTGACTCTTAACCTGCTAATCAAATTTTATTTGCAATGACACCAAGTGCAAAGGAAAGGATGGAACAGTGGACATGGGTCAGGGAGCTGTGGTGATGTTGTTTGTCTTCTGCAGGTGCTGTACAGCAGTCATTATGTTCTTTTCATTTTTCCAGTTCCTAAAGAAGAATCAATATTACTGACTCTTCCCCTCATTTTCTCACAGTGGTGTATGAAAGAGCTGAGGCAGACGTGATTAACCTTCTTGGAATAGACACAAAACATTGTTATATAAATATTGTGACAGTAAAAACTATGATGAGTATATCATAAAAATCTTTATAGCAATGTACACCCTGTTTTGTAGTATGTAATAATAAATAAAATATTACTATTCTAATGGGAGGGTACACTTTAAATTATATTCAAACAAGGTGCTCCTTCAGTTTTGCCTACCTAAAAACATTTCAGCTAGGGATTTAATGGGTTTAGTTGATAGGAAAGTCGATTTAGCCTCAAGTGTATGGTTTCTGCCTGCAGAGCTAACAGATTATAGATTATTTCTAAAAATCATTTTCAGATAATTCATGTTACCTTTAGCATTCTCCACCTAGTGTAGATGAAGCCTGAATACTACAAAGGAAAACAAATCAATTTCTAAATGTGGTGAACTAATAAACATGTAAGTGCAGGACTCAATTTACTAGTTGTTCAATAGTCAGAGATATATTTAATTGCTTTTGTAGTTCGAGATGGCAATTATTTCTAATATTTATTTTGCAGTGAGGGCCGAGGCAAGTTGACCGTATTTTCAGTTAAAGCTATGTTAGCAACCATGTGTGGTGGAAAAATGCTGGACAAGTTGAGATGTAAGTATTTTCATCTTATTTGAAAATTTTTATTTTCAAATTAGAACATGTTTTTAGGATTTTGGATTGAGCTAGGTAGTCCTCCCTCCTTCCCTCCCTCCCTTCTTGTGTGTGTTACTAATCACTGTGTGGCAGCTGGCTGACAGTATGTGAGCTATGCCCCCTACTGTTCAGATGGAAAAACTGGTTTAATTAAGAAATTAGAGTTAAGTGTTTTTTAAAGTGAGAAAGCTGAAGTTCAGAATAGTGATAGTGACACTTAAAAATTCCTTTTAAAATGCTTTCCATATTGGTAGAAAGTATGGTTGAAGATGATTATGTTGCGATATTTTAGTTAGAAAATTAATTTAATTGCTTTTATCAGGCTTAGTCAAGTTTAGCCTGCTTCTTAATACTTACCTCTTTATCAGGTAGTGTTTGCTATGATTCAGCTGTTCCTTAATTTTGAGGTAAAGATGATAAATTATATTTAAAATCTTATCTGAGTAGGATAAACATGATGCTTGAAGATCAGTGACCTAAGAGCAGCTCATGTCCCATCAATCTTTACACAAAGTACCACCTTGGCCCTGAGCATACTGACCCATCCCACATGGCATGTGCTCTATTGTATAACTTGGACCTTGGTCAGTTTGTGTTTATCCAGAAAGTTCAAAGCACATCAAGAAAACTGCTATCAAAGGTGGGGTGTAGCTCAATGGCAGAGTGCTTGCCTAGCAAGGTTAAGGGCCTTCAATCCCTAGCCCCAAAATAAAATCCCTGAAAATGGTAGGTGAGGTCGCACATGCCTTTAATCCCAGCACTTGGGAGGCAGAGGCAGGCAGATCTCTGTGAGTTTGAGGCTAGCCTGGTCTATATAGTGAGTTCCAGGCCACCTGGGGCTACAAGGAGACCCTGTCTCAAAGACAAAAAAACCCAAAAAACAAACAAACAAACAAAAAACCCCAAACTGCTTCTATGCTAACATTGCTTTGGATATGATCTTTAAAAAGCACCCTAGGTCTTGTTAGGGTCCGTGACTCGGTGGGTCTCTTCAGGAGAACAAATGCACGAGTATGGAGATGCAAAAATCAAGCAGAGTTTTATTAAACCAGCTAGCTGGGGCCGACCATCCTTCCTAGACACGCAGGTCTGGTTAGAGCAATCGACCCCAAGGCAATTTCAGGTAAAGATTATATAGCCTCCCAAAACCGTTACACAAAAGCCCGCATTTATACAACCAATAGTTTCAAAGCAAGCATTTCACAAACTAATAACTTCAAAACAAGAAAAATGTTACAACTCCCTTCAGGTGTCTCAATCGGGGAGGGATGGGTGGTATGTGCCTGGAGCGGCCCTTCCCTGTTATCTTGTGTAAGCAGACATGCCTACGTGACACGACACAGATCAGACAGGTCAGGCTCTGGGGGGTGCAGCACTTGTCCCTATCTCCGGATGCCTGTGTCTCCAGTTGAGTTAATTGGTTACAAGCAGTAAATTCAAACAAGTAAATTCAAGCAGTAAATTCAGACAAGCAGTAAATTCAAACAAGCAGTAAATTCAAACAAGCAGTAAATTCAAACAAGCAGTAAATTCCTCTTTTTCCCAACATTTCCCCCCTTTTTCTAGATCAAACTGAGGAATCTTCCTCAGCAGTATTTAAGTCTTGA